CTCTCTCTCTCTCTCTCTCTCTCTCTCTCTCTCTCTCTCTCTCTCTCTCTCTCTCTCTCTCTCCCCTATGGCAGCCTCAAACTCTCTGTCTGCCTTTTTCTCTCCACAGTGCTACAGTAGTGCACAAACTCCAAGAAGCACTACACAGGGCCTGGCCTGCCTCACAATGCCTCCTCGGGTAACTGAGATTTCTCAATCTGGACGGCGAATAATTGGTTGCGGCCAGTGTGGAGTCTGCGGACCTTGACTTTGTCAGAGCTGAGACCTTCAGGAAAGTTAAACCGCACTCAGTCTGGCACTGTATTCTTTTTTCGGGAAAAAGTAGAGCATTTCCCAAAAAAGTAGAGCATTTCCATTATCAATGTTCAACATTGAGGCCGGGAATCCTCACAAAAAAAACGGAAGTACCTGAATCCTGGGAACATTACCCAGTTTCGCTTCCTGAGGACATGGTAAGGGCGTCTACAGACTCAGTCTTTACAGCCAAGTGAGCTGTAAAGACTTCTAGAGGCAAATTATAACTGAGATTCCTCAGGAGTCTTTACAGCCAAGTGAGCTGTGGGCATGGTCGACTCCTGAGGAATCTTTGAACCTTGGACTTTTGAAGCCGGGTTCCACCTCGCTGTTTATTTTCCTAGGGCCTAATTTGACTTCTAGAGGCCCTGCGCAGCTCGATTTGACCCTTGAGTAACCCAGGTCTGCCGACCTAGTAAGGGCGTCTGCAGACTTTTCAGAGACTAGTAGACGTCTGACTTTTTTTGGTCAGAACTTTGACCTCTTCATACGGTACGACCCTTTGACTTTTTGCCAGTTTTTGCAAAGCTGACCCTACTCCCTTCTGTGACTCTGCAGGAGCTTTCGCGAGACTCTCAGATGGTGATTGGCGATGGCACGGACTGGAAGATATTCTACAGGAGTAGGAGTGAGGGACATTTTCGGGATTTGTGGGACACCCTACAAACCAACTTGTCATGCCCATCCTTGACTCAGAGTTCAGATGATTCTTTTTTTCTGTGCTGGGATTTGAATCTGAGTACCTGCATAACTTTTGATGATCCTACCGTAGCTGATCACCTTGGACGCGGATTGATTGCTGATAAGCTTTTTTACTCTCCTCGGACCTGACAATACCATCTCACACCTTGTGTCAGAGTTTGCACTGCGGTCTTCACCCCGAACACCCGGTCATTATAGCGGTATTTGGTGCAACTTTCAGTCCAGATACAGCAACAATTACCGGGCATTTTATTCCGATGAAGACGATAGTTGTGGCCTTGTAGACAATGCCCTGAACGGCTGAGGGAATGACCAAGTGGATCCATGGTACAAAAAAAACACGTGGAGTTACGTGGTCATTATCGCTGTCTCTGGGCTTAAAAAGATCCACCCAATAAAGCTATAAATTATGGTGACCATGCATTCTCTTCCGTGGAAGTCACTGGAAAACCATACCTGACATTCTTGTTGTAGTAGCAACCAGAGCAGCAAAACACACCTAGTAGGAAGAACTCACGCGCCGACGGATCTATTCAGAGCTGTCTGCGTCTTGTCACCGAAGGAAGAACACCGCAAAGCTCCTACGGACTTTAACTTCCTCTTCTTCCCTTCTCCATCCATGCTCAGGGCTTTCTCCCTCCACTTTCCCACCTCCCTACCCCCTCTAGTACCCCTCACCCATCAACTCATGTCTATTCAACGGCCTCTCCAATCAGTCACCAAGTTTCACTTTACTAGCAATGCCGCCCCAAAGGGGTCGAATAGTGCCTTCGCCTTTCATCATCCTTGTTCAGTTGTGTCTGTACAGCCTTTGCACAGTGGGATCCCAACTGTGCCACCTGCGGTGGTGGCAGATAATGGTTCCGATCTCCGGCATCAGCATCAAGAGTACCTGCAAAAAGTATCTCCGTCTTCTTCGAAGACGTTTTCGATCGCCCAGCTGATCACACATCTTATGACCATCCTTCACCAGATTCATCGTAACAGGTGCTGCAATGTTTCCCACATTAAAAAAAAACTTCGTTACGTCGGGTTCCCCAGGCTTACAGGTATCATGGAAGCTGTTGGCTGCAGCCGGCAGCAGTTCCTTGAATGTGAACTCCCAGTCTCCCAGAATCGATCAACGATCATGATCTTTTTGGTTTCCAGCAGCTCGGAGACCGAGCGACTTCTCTGACGTACTATGTATCCCCTGCACTGCGATCCCTTTCCAATCTGCATTCCAAATCAGATTCTCTAACATCAACCTTTGACTGCTCATATCTTCGCATCCACGAGCTTGCGGCGCCTTGCATGGCATGCATGATGTCTTGCTGAATCTAGGCCTTCGAGTTTTCCAACCCTTTTGTCAATTTCACACTTTCCACCATTAGATCACGTACCTCAGCCGTGAGTTGCATGATCCGCTGGTCGTCTCGTTTCCTCTCGGATTCACATTGTTCACATCTATCCCTCAGCGCCTTCTCCTTCTCTGTGAGCTTGCTTATTAATGCACTCTCGACCTGCTTTATCCTCTCTGCATGGATTTGTTCCTGTTTCTCGTGCCCTGATCCTGACGGACGACATCTGTCTTCCAATCTCTCCCTCATTGCTTGCACATTGCGTAGCTCAGTCTTTAGCGTTTCTATTTCTATACTCTCTCCATGCAATGCCATTTGTTTACACTCAGATCTGCACCGATTCAAGCTGGCTTTAAATGCATCCCTCTCTGCCGCCAAGTTGCTTACTTCCCTCTCAAGCTTCTTTATCCTGTCTTCATGCCTCCATCTCTCTTTTGTTAATTCCGTCTTTTCTATTGTTCCACGTGTTCTTTAATCCTCTCTGCGTCCGTCCTCTGGGGCTGATCGGCCGCCCGTACATAGGTTCTCCCCTCCTCCTCGCACTCTAATACTCTGGGTCGCTCCATCCTCATTGACTGTCCGCTCTCCTTTGGTAGACTATGCCTATGCTGTGTAAAAATCTCCAGAGGGCAGATCTTCTTCGTTTCCCTTCGCTCACGTTCCTCTTCCGTCGATCCAAATGGCCTGACTCCCTCTTTCGGGACCTCCCTGCGCAGGGGAACATTGCTTACCCCGGTGCCAATCACCTTGACTCTCTCTCCATTCCTGATGATCTCGTTCTCTTTGTTACGTGACCCAGACTGCGCAAATCTCTTGGTCGGCATCCGGGTCTCTTCCACCCAATCGCTTGCATCAGCTTTGAGCTGATTTTTTTTTTTTCCCTCGCCGTCTGAACCAGAATCCTCAGATTCCAGCTCCACCAACATTCCTGCTTCTCCCAAATTGAACTCATCGGGTTTTTCATGCTTCGATCCCGATGGCGACGACGCCCTCCCTACTCTTAATCGATCAATCGAGACGGTCACATGAGGCCTCCTTATCTCTTCTGCCAGCCTGCTCTCGTTTGCCTTCTTCTGCACAGTTGCTACGACTACTTCTTGAGTGCCTTGCTCCGATATGCTTTCCATCTTTACCATCTTTGCGGGATGCGGATCAGGTTCATACGCCTTCATGATGAGGAACGCTCCTCGACCTCCGACGATGAGCCGCTTGGCCTCTCTGTAGAGAACCATGGTCCACACTTCTCCCAGGCCAGTGGGATGACTGCACACTGGCTTGTAGTCTGGACCATCATCGTACACTTCGATTCTTCCACTCTGTAATGCACACACTATATACGGTCGCACTGGATGGAATCGTGCAATTGCATACTCCCATCTTCCACCAACTTCAAGAATCTTAACACATACTCTGTCCTTGTAATCCCAGATCTGTACTTTCCCACGATGGCTACCGGTGATCAGCAGTGACTTTTGTCGATCGCTGCAGAACTCCATCGAGCTAATGCCATTCCTTGCTTCATCCGTCTGAAGAACAAACCATTTCCCATGGTCACGCAGTCGTATTGCACCACCACGGCTGCCAGATGCAAAAATTTCTGAGTCCACAGGATGAAATGACAGCTGTGTTACCTCAGGTTGTCCCTCAAAGCGTTCTATATCCCATTCGCCAGCATTGGATTCCGAGTGCACCCTCCGAACTGAGGACTTCACAGCTGTCAGTATGTACCGTGAACTGCTGTGGACCACCAGTGGCGGTGAATTCCACGAGGAGTGATGCTGAGCTACCATCTGGCTCAACGTGCCCGATGGACCCGCAACTCTAAAGCATTTTTTGGCTGTAATAAATTCCCAAGTCCCGAGCTTTTCCACGTCCATCTTAATGCTATACGTAAACATCCCGTACCCATGGATCGTGAGATAAAGCACCACAACCCAGGCTTCCCTGCATAAGAATCTCGCCACCAAATATCTCGTACGTGAAGCACTGGCCCTTCTTGCCACCAGACGACAGTATCTGAAGTTCCACACTTCGAGAAACTTTTCATCGCGTATGAAAACGAGCCATCCATTAGAGGGATGAACATCGACGTCAAGGCCGGAGTCCCCTACATCTCTCGCCTCACGTATCCGTTCGAGCTGAAGTGGCCCTGGGCCACGAGAGCTGGCCATAATTATACTCTGCCGTGATGCTCAACAGAGATGCTCAATGCCCGCCGTTGTTTCACTCCTGGATGATTAAATTTGATTGTCCTCCGTGTTCGCTTCGCTCTGGCATATTACACTACAGACAGCTCAAACTTCAATGTCACTCCCCTTACCAGTCGGGGGGGGGGGAAGTCAGAAAATTCCTGCAAATTCGAATTACCCTGGGTGGGAAACGAAGAAAGTTGATGAAAAGCTTGCAACGGTTAGTAACTTAGTACCTTGTTTCAATGTCCAATGACTCCAATCCTCGTTGCGAAACAGGGAGAGGCTGTGAAAAGGCTGTGAAAGCATGGACCTGCAGGATTCAACTTGAATGGCATTTGCCTGGAAGGCTGGAACTACTGTCTTCACCCGAATAGAACGCCAGGTAATTAGTGCTGCATCTGGATCAAAAGTTGAGCTAAATACAGCTATAATGACCGGGAGTTCTATTCGGGTGAAGACGGTAGAAGAGGTGGGTGCTCATTTTCTGTGGCATACTGTGCAGCCACACGGGCCCTGCAGGGCCCGTCCCGGACCTCCAGCCTGTTTCCCTACAGGGAAACTTCCAGGCTCTTGCCTGGAAGCTTCCTTCTGACAGGGCCTACAGGCCCCAGCCTGTTTCCCTACAGGGAAACTTCCAGGCTCTTGCCTGGAAGCTTCCTTCTGACAGCGCCTACAGGCCCCAGCCTGTTTCCCTACAGGGAAACTTCCAGGCTCTTGCCAGGCTCTTGCCTGGAAGCTTCCTTCTGACAAGGCCTACAGGCCCCAGCCTGTTTCCCTACAGGGAAACTTCAGGGAACTTCCAGGCTCTTGCCTGGAAGCTTCCTTCTGACAGGGCCTACAGGCCCCAGCCTGTTTCCCTACAGGGAAACTTCAGGGAACTTCCAGGCTCTTGCCTGGAAGCTTCCGCAGGGTCTAGGCCAGGGAGGCATTGGCACGGCTAGCCTCCTGCATGGGCCAGCACTATAAAGGACTGGCCCACCCTGCAGGAGGTAGTAGTCAGTAGGCACTTGTAGTCTTCAGGATTTCGGCCGCAACACTCAGGAGGAGCGCTGCAGTAGTCTTCAGCGCTAGGCAGTAGTGGTAGCGCTAGGAGTAGTCTTCGACGCTGGGCGCCATAGCCATAGTGGTCGTCTTCAGCGCTGGGCGCTATAGGGCAGGGTAGCAGTATCGGAGAGAGACACTGGCGGAGGCCAGTGGTACTTACCTGTGGCACCATCGCTCCAGCTCCATCCTCGGTGTACCTGCATCAAGACGCCAGTTTTACAGGTTAGTATTGGACTGAGAGAGAGAGAGAGAGAYCTTCTTCTTCCTCTTCTAAGTCCACCATCTCTTCTTCCYCTCCCGCTGCCTGCCTCTCARCATCTATGGGCTAYGAGATGGAGCTTTGACATGGGACAKGACGACATTGTCATCAGACTTGATTCCGGGATACAGACATTCGTTGAGGATTATTTGGGACCTGTGACGCAGACTTGGAGTTKACGATATCTMCCATCTTCTCCTCTCCCTCTGTCTCTTCCCTTCCCCCTTCGTCTGTGTATGTTGGGGTCTGGCGCTATCTATTCCGTGTGAGCGCCAACCCTTCACACCACTGTATGATGATGATAAATGTCGGGACTGTACTGCAACATTGATTGAGTCGGATCATTGATAAGTCTTCCGCTCGCCATCTTGTACTTTGAAATGAAAGGTTGGTCCTTGTTCTGTTTTGCATGATCTAGTATGCAACATTTTCAGACTCTTTTCAAGATAAGTCCAAGTTGAAAATCAAGACTCCAAAACCGTCATACGGATATGCAAATTTTTTGCAAATCCAGTGCCAGTTTTTTGAAACTGCAATAGACTGAACCTGGTCCGAATTCTGAGCCATATGTGGGTCCTGATGTAGGTAGCCCTACGGGGCATGCCTCATATGGCTCCTCCAAGCTGGCCAAAGGAGCATCCACCCAAATAATATGGAGACTGTCACAGTGCGGAGAGGAGGAAGCCGACAAAAAATGGCTGTCATGGGTCCGAAAGACCAAAGCATATATAAACTGCTGCCATAAGAAGAACACCGAACACACAGAGATCAAAACCGGTCGGGGATCCGCATTTCTTTTCGGAAACTGAGTTTTTTTGTCTATCAATCATTGTATCCTACGATAGAAACCGGTCGGGGATCCGCATTTCTTTTCGGAAACTGAGTTTTTCTGTCTATCAATCATTGTATCCTACAATCAATCATTGTATCCTACGTGTGGTATCTGATGCATGCTTGTGTGCATGTGAATGTATGCCTACATGCATGGTTGACCACGTATCATGTGTATGTCACATATCTCTCATAACCTGCTTAAGCCCGTGTGAACCTACCTGGATTAAAGTGTCGGGAGTGTGTGAGCACGAAGAACTAAGCGACAAAAGTTAGATGCTGGAATATGCCAGTAAGGCGGAAGTACTTGCGAAGAAACAGAGGGGTGACGGTGGTAACCAGTATGTCAACCTGGGGTAGCCGTGGTGATGATTACAACCGAGGGAGGAGTAATGACGACCATGGGCGAAGCTACCGTGGTTCTAGTCGTGAATGTGAGGAGGTCCGAAGAGATTGCGGAGACGGCAACCGTGACAACCATGGCAGAAATGAGCGGCGACGTGTTGACAGACAACGCGAACCAAGCAGTGAACTACCCCGGCGACCTCCACCCGTTTGTTTTGGGTGTAAAGTCCTTGGTGACTACCGCAGTGACTGCTGGAGGTTTTGGACTAATGACGAGACGCGGAGACAAATGGAAGCAGATGGTTACAAGTGTCCACCGGAGTTCCAGAGGCGTGGAAGGTCAACGTCACCTCGTCACTACCGAAGTACCAACTTCAAGCGCTCGCCGTCGGAAGAACCAAGGACAATGATTTGAATTGAAGACCTAGACAAGAGTGTGAGGGCAATCAAGGAGTACTACGACAATGAGATTGCTCGACGAGCAGAGGAGGACAGGAAAAAGTTGGAGAAGGAAGCAGCAAAGCAGAGAGAAGCTAAGGAAAAGGCGGCTATCAAGGAAGCCAATAGGATTGAGGCTATGAAACCGTATGAGCGCGCATAAGCGCAAGAGCGCGCGCTTTATCCCCCCCCCCC